TACTTCCTCCCTGAGCACTCTATGGTTTGGGAGGGTTAAAGGCATTCAACTTCTAGATTCCCCCCCTTTTAAAAATTTATTTATTTATTTATCTATTTATTTATTTTGGGTTTTTGGAGACAGGGTTTCTCTGTGTTGCTTTGGAGCCTATCCTGGCATTCGCTCTGGAGACCAGGCTGGCCTCAAACTCACAGAGATCCACCTGCCTCTGCCTCCCAAGTGCTGGGATTAAAGGCATGCGCCTCCAACGCCTGGCTAAAATTTATTTTTTATTTTAGGTGCATTGGTGTATTGCCTGCATGTTGGTCTGTATGAGGGTATCATATCCTCTGGAACTGGAGTCACCAGACAGGTGTGAGCTGCCATGTGGGTGCTGGGACTTGAACCTGGAAGAACCGCTGAGCTATCTCTCCAGCTCCTAGATTCCCTTTTAAACATTATTTTTGTTGTTTGTTTTTGTTTTTGTTTTTCAAGACAGGGCTTCTCTGAGTAGCTTTTGCTGTCCTTGGCTGTTCTAAAATTTACTATGTAGACTAGCTAACCTCAAACTCTCAGAGATCAGATTGCCTCTGCCTCCTGAGCGCTGGGATTAAAGGTGTGCACCATCACCACCCAGCAATGGCCTTTCTTTTAAATGCTGAGTAATATTTCATTGTGTTGTATTCCACATTGCGTTTATCCATTCATCCCTTGATGGACACTTGAGTTATTGCCACCTTTTAAGTATTGTGAGTAATGCGGGGCGTTGGTGGCTCACGCCTTTAATCCCAGCACTCGGGAGGCAGAGGCAGGTGGATCTCTGTGAGTTCGAGACCAGCCTGGTGTACAAGAGCTAGTTCCAGGACAGCCTCCAAAGCCATGGAGAAACCCTGTCTCGAAAAACCAAAAAAAAAAAAAAAAAAAAAAGTATTGTGATTCAGCTATAAGCATAGACATCTGAATATCTCTCTGAGACCCTGTCCATTGTTATTTCATATAACTCCACTTTTAATTTTAAGGAATTGCTAATAGCTGTCTGTAATGCCTGCATCATTTCACACCCCCCCTTCCTCTCCAATAATTGCTTTCAACACCTTATTTTATACCCAGGGCCTCTAGAGTCACAATCATTGGCCCATTATCATATTGTGACTTCTGTGTCCCATTGTTACTACAGCTAAGTGGAAAGGACACAGTGGTAAGGCTGTAACCGAGATGGAGGCTGCAGTGTGAGAGACAGACAGATACTCTCACCCTTCTGCTTACAACCAAGTGACAGACATGAAGAAAGACCTGGAGGATGCTAAAAAATATCATAAATAAAAAAATACAGGGGCTGAGGTGAGGCATAGTTGGTGCAGGGCTTGCCTGCCAGGTATGAAGCTCTGGGTCCCCTCCCCAGCACTGCTTAAATGGGGCAGGGTGGCACATGCCTGTAATCTTAGCCCCTGGGAGATGTAAACAGGAGAATCAGCTCACACTCATCCTTGGGCACACAGAGTTGGAGGCCAGTCTGTACCAAATAAAACAAAATACAAACAAAGGCTGGGAAGATGGTTTAGCTGCTAAAGATGTTTGCTGCCAAGCCTGGTGACTTGAGTTTCATCCCAGGGATCCACGCGGTAGAAGGAGAAGGAATCTGAGGCAGGAAGATTGCCACAGGTTTGAGGTCAGCCTGGGCTATGTGAGACCTTGTCTCACCCTCCACCCCTCAAAAAAAAGAAACCTGTCCTGAATCTTGAACTATAGTGTATGCCATAAAAGCAAGGAACCCTTCCTAGATTGAGGGTACCAAAAAAGGCAGGGGGGAGAACTTGGGCACAATTAAGCAACCAAAAGTGGAAGACGGAAGGCTGGTTTTAGGGAGGGGACGATGAGACTGAGGGGGAGATCAAGGGCACGGGCAGAGATAAGCGTGGTTGGTGGAGAGACTGAAACACACCCCAGAATGCACAGCTCTGCAATTGGTTGATATTCAAGGTGATCCTTACCTACGGAGGGAGCCAGACACCTGTGGTTGTAGCGACTGTGGTGGAGTCAGGAGGGTGGGAGTGTAGGATCATCCTTGGCTACACAGTGCTTCCAATGCCAGCCTGGGCTGCAAATGACCTCGACTGATCCACAACCAAATAGTTAGATAACACATCTGAGGGAGATATGAACCTTAATGGCTGCAGGAATGAAATAGGGTTCTGCACCCCAGATTACTCTCTTAACAGCAGAGGTTCGGAACCAACCCTGAAAACAACCCATCTTTGCAAGCCCCACCACCCCAAAAGAGGATATTGCTGTAAAAATCCTGTCTCTTCCCTATACCTAGCCCCACCCGGGGCTTTGGCTGCTTAAGGCCTTCTAAGCCATTAAATGGTAATTTTGGATTAGGGACTTGACTTTTGCTCCATTCAAAGACTTATTTCATTTCTCTGCTGGTCCCTGGCTGTGGGATACAAAATGGAGACCACAGATGAACGAGGAGCCATGGTGTCTCATGCCTGTAATCTAAGCACAAGTATGTGTGTTAGTGTGAGAAGCTATGAGTACCAGGATCTCAAGGCCACCTGTGCTGCATGTCTTAAAAACAAAAACAAAAAATAAAATGATATTAAAAACAACAACAAAACAAGCCGGGCGTTGGTGGCTCACGCCTTTAATCCCAGCACTCGGGAGGCAGAGGCAGGTGGATGTCTGTGAGTTCGAGGCTAGCCTGATCTACAGATCAAGTTCTAGGACAGTCTACAAAGCTACACAGAGAAACCCTATCTCGAAAAACCAAAACCAACCAACCAACCAACCAACCAACCAAACAAACAAAAAAAGCAAAAAAACAAACAACTGTCAGGATGGAGATGGCTCGGTGGTTAAGAGCACTGGCTGCTTTTCCAGAGGTCCTGAGTTTGGTTCCCAGCACCCATGAGGCAGCTCACAACTGTCTGTAACTCCAATTCCAGAGAATCCACACTCACCCAGAAATACCTGCAGAGAAAGAACCAATGCACATGAAAAAACAAAAAACAAAACAAAACCAAAAAACTACCTTTTCTTTTCTTTGAGACAACTTGAGGACTTCCAAACTCAGTCTTCTGAAAATTATCATCATCATTATCATCATCCTTGCTGTAGTGATGGAAATGGCCCAACGGTCCCACCCCATTCTCAGGCAGATATGGCTGTAATGCTTTCTATCACTAGCAAGATAAAGGAGAGAATTATATTACACAATGTTTTCCTTAAAGGGCTCATCTTTCTTGAGCCATAAACTGTACATTCCTTTAGATTTGTGAGTAACTGCGTCTGCTCTGCTCCCTTCCCAGAAAGGTGTTGGGAATATCTGCAGATTAGGCAGAGGACAGGTGTTAATTTGCCTTCTGACTCAGAATCAGAACCCTAAATGCTTTTATGTAGCATGAAAACGAATTTTTCCCTGCCAACTCCACCCTGGCTTACAAGAGGGCTGTCCAATTTGTTTTTGATGTCCTCCAAGTCATTTAAAAATATGTTCCAGAAGACTGGCCACAATTGGAAATTAGGCATTTATTTCTTCTACAAGGTCTTATCCGTAGCTCTCCATATTAAAATGGTGTTCCAGCTGATTTATTCAGCTTTGGTTTGTCCAAAGGCACAGGTGAGCACACTTATGAGGCCGGGCTCCTATTTTCCCTTCCTCACTCATCAGCTTCTTAGAAACAGGAAACTTGACAAATAGCCAACCAAAAAACCGCCAAGCACCAAGATGGAGGACAGGTTGACGGTCTGCCCATTCCCCTATAACCAAGGAAAGGTCAAATAAGGATCCACATATTCAGAGATCTCATAGGGACACCACAGAAGGCTGACCAGCCAGTGGAACACCCCTTCTCCACTCAGCTCATACACTGGGCAAGGGAGTCAGCCAATTAAATTTACGAGATTTGTGAAGTATAATTTTATACCCATATACACCCTTTTGGAAAATTTCAGGCATCTCTGAATCAGGTCACACAACCTCTAACTTTTCTGAAACCAGGTCTGAATTGCAAAAACCAGGTCTGAATTGCAAAACGCCCTAGTAACTAGTGAGTTTAAACACCCAGGTACCTTTCTGGGTGCCCACTGTTTCCTACAGCGGGCTGAAACCAGTTTCTGTGAAAGAAATTGCAACTGCTCTCTTTTCTGGAATCATCTCTGGTCAAGTTTGCTTTTAATCTGCCCTTTCTACAGTTAGCAGACTGAGAAGTGCTTTTTAAAATTCAGAAAGTCCACATGATAATAACAAATCCACGCACGTGAGTATGAAACCCGAGGCTATTACTCAGGATTTTAAGGAGGCGAATCGTGGTGGGGACGAACAGTGTGAAATTGGGTAGGTAGGGGGTGTAACTTGAAGACTTGGAATGGGCAGAAGGCCGGGCGTACCACTGGCCACTCGGGCAGCCTTCGAAACGCAATTTAAAATTTTCAATCAGAGACCTGGAAAGGGACTCGAGTCCCCGGTCAGGTTGTTTTTAGAGGTAAAAACTGAACCGAAGTATTTTTCTTTTTCAGCTGGTAGTTATCAACCACGCCAATTACTACAGTAAAAATTTTTTGGAGCGCATTACCAAGATACATCGGTTCTAGAACTTTCATGTCCCGCCCTGGTTTTCAATAAACAGATTTCCCGGCTTTTTTTTCTCTAGTCCCAGCACTCGGATAGTGGCCGCGAGGATGGTCCCCTCCGAGTCGGTCCACGCCCCGGCCAATCTGAGCCCGGATGCTAATTAGCTACGCTTCCCTGATGAACACGCCTTTGTCACATGTAGGGCCGAACTACAAGGCCCAGCATGCCTCGCCCCTCCCTGATCAATGAGGGCTTATTTAAATGATCTCTGAGGTCTTGGACCCAGGCCAATCAGCTGTCAGGGCTCATGATAAATCGCAATGCATTATTGATAATAATAATTACTGGGACATGCGCGTTCCGGCCGAAGGGGGGTAAAATTTCCTAACTCCAGGAATTGGTGGCAAGTCACCAGGGCTCTTCCCGGCGCCCCGATCCGCGCACCATGTCGAGGCGCAAGCAGGCGAAGCCCCAGCACAGTTACTCGGAGGAGGGCCAGGGCGAGCAGCCGCTGCAGCAGCCGAGCCCCGACCTCGCAGAGGCGCCGGCGGCGGAGGAACCGGGTGAGTCCGTGCGCCCGTCTGTCCGTGCGTCCCGGGAGGACGCTCCCAGCACCGCCGTGCGTCCCTCGAGCGCGCGGGTTTGGGAGCAGATTCTGGAACTGGGCTTTTGGACTCGGTTCCGGGAAAGGAGAGGCGAGAGCGGGACGGAGGGAGGTATCCTCACCCCCCCCCCAAGTTTCCCCCGGTTCTCTCATTCTTATTGGGAAGTTGGCGCCCCTTTGCCCTGCCTCGCTCTCCCTCCAGCTTGCCTCTCCTTGTCCTCAGTCGGATAATTGGTTTCCCTCGCCTCGATACACAAGCACCCCTACCCCGGCGACTT